ATGTGACACCCTGTGGATTAGTTATTACTCAACTCAAGGTACCATTCCCACACATTCCATGACTTTCTTCCCTTGAAGGAGTCTGAGACGTAGACGATATGTACAAATTTTGTATGATATCACAATATCGCTCGCATAAATCTCTGAATCTTTTTTTTCTTATTATTTTTTTACTTTTCTTTTTTTTTTCAAATGCGACTTGACGAATCAGAGATACAAGTCGTTGATCCCGTATCATTGGACTATAATATTATCGCAGCACACATGATACATTTAAGAATCTTGAGATCCATATACATAAGTATATATTACATAACAAATTGATTGCAATTTTAAGTGGTGAACCACACGTACATATTGCCTACGATACAGACTCGGCTGTAACTGTAGCATAAAAAAAGCAATGTTAAGTTAATTTTATGCCCGACCACGTGGTTTCTTCCTTGAAGAAGGTGCTTCCTCGGACGAAATAACGCCGGTGGTAGCGGCTACACGCTTCGGACGTCCTGCCATTTTACTCGATTGCTGTGTGGTTTGAGCAGAACCTTTAAATTTAATTTGATTTTATTAAGAAATATAATTGAAATTTCAGTCAATGGAGTTTATTATTAACGTAATATATATATTTTTTTTATAATATTAAATTTAAATTATTCTAAAATATCTCAAAATTCTATTGAACGGCAAATTTTTGCAAAAATTGTTTTTCTCAATAAAATATATTTGAAAAATAACATAGAGAGAATTTCGTTTTAATGCGCAATAACATTTCATACCTCCAGGTTTTGTTCTTGGAACTCCTCTGGTGCCATTATTACTTTGCTGCTTGCCGTTCTTCTTTAAATCTAACTTCTTCATTTCTACAATATTTTTGGTATCCGTCACGGCGGAAACGTTAGTAGCGGGATTGACAGTAGTTGTAGTAGTTGCAGGAGCACTAGCAGCGATATTACTAGCAACTGTTGTAGCAGTTGTAACAGTAGTTGCGACAGTCGTGGCAGCTGCAGCAGCAGTAGTAGTAGAAACATGATCGTTGTCTAAACTATTGCCGGACTTCGTGCTTCTGTTTAGTGCTCTCTCTGCTCTACTACTGCCTTTCGCGACAGATTTAGCGATCGCCAATGCTTTGACCGATCGTTTCTTTGCACGACTTGCTTTAGATGCTTTCCGATTTCGATCCGAATCTTCTTCATCTACGTCATCATCCGTAGAATTCACAACTCGCTTAGACTTTTTACGATTCGGCTTTTCGTTATGCAAGCTTTTTCTTCTCTTTAGCTGTGACTCATCTTTATAAAGTGACAGATCCACTGCAAAAATAAACATTGCAATTACTCATTTAATATGCGAAACTGTACTTAAAACAATAAACTATAAAATTTGTGAATGTTTATTATCACTTTGTAATATCACGATTGGCATTGAGTGGTTCACCGCTCGATGCGATTGACTCACGATCTGTAGATCCGAGTTCAATCTCACCTGCGCAAACACGTGATTTTTCGTGTGTAAAGAGCCAAAAATGACTCCACCTGGTGATCAAGAGATAGAGAGTAGCTCTGCTAAGAGAACATTCTCTCAACGAGAGAATGTCACCACGCTCGGATACGAGCAATAGGACTAAGAAGAGAATATTACGATTACTTACATCCATCAGGATGTTCTTCTGTAACTCGAGGCTTCTCAGACACTCCAGCCTCGACATCAATAGCCCGTTTTAAGATATTTTCTGTACGTAACAGCTCTATTCTGGTTAGCCAGAATTTATGTTTATCGACTTTGTTTAGGTTGAGATTTGTTAATATACAATCAAAATCTGAAAATTAACAATAGAATTGAAAGAGATAAATACAACATGATATAATAGTGACATAAAAATAATGCGTGATAATACCTATGGTATCATAGAAATCGGGCGAATAGAATTCACCGTTGGTTTTATCTTGAGACAACCAACGTATGCGGATGCGTCTACTTGATTTGTAGATATTTTGCATCGCTTGACAGACATAAAAGCTTCCTTCTGCATTTCTCACAGCCAAAAATTCGTTTCTAATAATAAATATTTAATAATTATGGTTCATAAATATATAAAAGATATTAAGTTGTTTAAATATTTTTGTCGAACGCTCACTTATAGAAAACGATGAGTTTGTCGTCAGTAGCTTTAGAACCAGGAGTTTTATTGAGATTTTTGACCAGTAAAGCGATCTCCGGTAATGGACTTTGATAGGGTTGTGTTTGAATCCGGTTTCTCTTAGGTTTACTTGCTCCATCAGTAACTACAGTAGACACTACCTTCAAATCTTTTAGTTCTCTGGATTTTCGTTTAGTTGTCTTCGGAGAGGTAGTGACTTTTGCGTCAGGTTTATATGTACTAGTTAATGTTGCAGCTGCATTATCACTCGATACTTTCGAACTCTGAATTATGGGTTTCGCCTTTGGAACGTCGTTCTTAGTTTGTGTATCTTCTGGTTTATGTGGAGATTGTTTTATATGTACAGAAGTATTAACGGCTTTGCCGTCTGATTCCTTTGATCCATTATTTACAGGGACCTTCTTTTCCTCAACTTTATTTTGTGTTGGTGTGCATACTGCTGCTATAAGAACAAATATAATTGCATATAAATATTTATCATCTTTCATTATTTACAGATTTATATTAGTAGTGCTTTTTATATCTTTAATTTATGTAATGTTATTCTAGGTGTTCCTTATAATTCATTATTTTAAATTTTACTTCATACAAAATGATTAAAATAAATATATTATCATATAATGTGAAAAAGACAATAAAATTTCAACAACAGAATATAAAGTACTTATTTTTTATGTTACTCGATACATCTATCACATGATATGTTCTTTCAAGTAAAAAAATTTAATTTATAGAAAGTTAAGAAAAATAACATGTTACTTACGAGTATTCAGTGGAAACTCTATTAAAGAAGTTAACACTTGTTCCGATTGCATTTCGCACGGTTGTTCTTGAGCAGGAGTCTCTGGACTCAGGTTGTTGTTTCTGTTAGATTCATTCTGTTTTACAACAGCAGGCACGTCTTGCTCGGTTTCAGTTTTCGTAATCTCCACACCATTTGGAATCAATTTCTCGGCTTCCGGTTCCTTCTCCATGTTACTTCCTATGTACGGTGGGGTCTGATACACCGAAGGTCTATGATCTTGAACCAGACTAAGTGGCTGACTGGGTGGTTGTAGCGTGACATAGCTTAGTCCGCTACCAGTCAGGGGTTTCATTGATCCCGACTCTGATCCTGGTACCACTTTCTGTGCCATGGCATTTATGGGAAGCATGGAGTGGCTGGTAGAGTACAGCGATGTACCTAGATACAATTAATTTTACAGCCTTACGTCCAAGACGCTAGAAATCAGACTGAGATTTCAGATAAAGAAAGAATGAATTATGCATTGGTCATGTAATCAAATTGTACAAATGTAAATTAATTTCTTTCTCTGAGATCTCAAATTGTGATTTTTAGCATCGTAAACACAAGACTTCAGACAAGCACTCTCTCCTTCGCAATCACAGGAATTTTTTTTTTTTATTTACGAATATAAAACCGATAAAGCAACAACAAGCGGGAGATAAAAACAATCCTTTGCAATTAATTTATTTACATTGCATTATATTCCGATAACGTACCGTGCGATAATTGTATACAGTCAAGAGAAATATATTTTTACCATAATTCGTTCAAACGTAAAGTTGTGCACAACGAAATTGTTCGTACAACTACTATTTGCACTTGACAATTACTGCACTAATTAAACTGACTTTGCTGCAAGTCTCGTATCTATTGCTATTCCCAAACATATCGGAGCAATTAAGAAACAAGAAGAAAAAAAGTCACATGATAATACAAAGTTTATATAACACAATTATCATCGCGAGTACATTACGGGCACTTTTCTGTACATCCTATAACAGCGAACCGAGTACCTAAACGTGAGCGCGTTACCGCGAACGTAATCCGGCGATAAAAAAAAAAAAAAAAAAATGGAACGTTTGTTTCCGCTAATAGGCGAAGAACGCGAGACAGGGAGGTATAACGCCAGAGAGGGAGGGAGAGCGCGAAGGAGAGAGAGAGAGAGAGAGAGAGAGAAAGAGCGAGAGCGAAAGTGAGAGAAAGAGAGAGAAACGCGGGGACGAAGAAGCGGGCGCGTGGCGAAAAGCGACGAGAAAATCGCGGGGAAGGTGGGATACGAAGACGAGTGCGGTGGCTAGCGGACGCGGGGGGGTAGGGTGGCCAGGCGGGACGACGAACGCGCGCGGCGCGGCGCGGCGGTTTAGGATGGCGCGCGCTCGCGCTCGCTACGTTACCTGCGATCCTGGCTGGAGCGGGGTAGAGAGGGGCGGCCGTGTAACAGGAATCCGCCACAGCGCACAGTGGAGGGTCCTCCGTGTCCGGGAGGTTGACCGCCGCCGTTCGTCGCGATGCCAACAATCGCACACAAACACCACACATACACGCACACACAAACACGGGTTAGCTCGTTCGCCCAAACGTTTGGCCGGCACGCAGTGAGCCCCGTCCCACGCCTATCATTTCATACGGCGTACACGCGCCATAGTGGACAAACGCGACGACGTAGCCGACTTTCGGGTGCGAGCAGCCACTGGAGGAAGCACGGTTAAACACGCGCGATCAGCCGGACGACGAGAGCGACGAGGAAGTTTCCGCCGCACTTCTTCGACGATGGCCCTGGATTTACCAGCGGGAGCGAGCAGGAATGCCAGTCGTTAGATGGCGTCGGTTCCCCCCCGGACGCCATGCGTGGATTCGACTCGGCTCTCGTCGCCGTGCGCGTTGATTGGTCCGCGGAGTCGCCAATGAGGCGTCGTCCGACGTTAAGGCACAATTCGCAGCAATTCACTGCGGCGCGTGCGCGAGTGCCGGCGACCGAGTCCAGTGTTTGCACTGGTCTGCACTTTACAGTTCCATAGTTTATCTAACCTATAATAGTTTGTGTATATACATTCGCGCTATTTTTGCAAAAATATTGTGGAACGGGATATTAAAGAGATAGTAGCGAGAGATTCTGCGCTAAAGTATCCCGAGATGTGACGAGAAGGCACCTTAAGAACCTTTTAATTCTAAGGAGGGATCAGTCAAAAGAGAAATATACATTCCGATTAACTGCCGTCAAGGTTTTCGTTCAACTTGGCCAACAAATTTTTTAAAAGCGGTAAGAGATGCGAAGAAAGATCCTTTTATAAATTAATAAAGTAATCGAATTGGAAAAAATGCTCTTCTCGGGTAGGTTCAAGAAGGTTTGGAGTGCCTGACTGAATAACATCTTTCATGATAAATTCTTTGCGATGTTTTGATATACATTATTATTCAATTAGCAGTAAATTTAATTTATGATATTACTATTCCAGCTTTAGGACTTTTAAAGAAATAAGGCTAAAATGCACAGAAGTGATATTCCTAAACATAGTTCAATTGATATAAGTTGAAATTAATTCTTGATATATAGCTGTCGAGAAACACTTTTAGAAAATTTTCTCTTTTTTTAAATTAAATTTTGTTGTTATTTATTGATATTACATAGGGTGACCATAAGCTATATTTGTAAGTAGGACTTTCATAGTGAAAAAGTAGTACAAAAGTAGTACACCACCGACCCAAAAAAAAAAAGGATAAAATGGATAAACATACAATGCATGAGATGGACAGGCATTTGATATACACGACATTGCATCAATTATATATTTCATGTTTTACTGTTTAACACATTTTTCATCACTTTTTAGCTTCTTTATAAATAAAAATGTTAAATCCTAAACATATTAATTATCACATTTTAATCACAAGAGGTTTAACATAGGTTTTTTCTTTAAAATATTACATTATTAACGACTTACTGTAAATCATAATATTGTAAATATAATTGTAATAAGTCTAATGTAAAGTCAAAGAACATTTTAATCACAAGTTTTAACATAGGTTTTTTCTTTAAAATATTACATCATTAACGACTTACTGTAAATCATAATATTGTAAATATAATTGTAATAAGTCTAATGTAAAGTCAAAAGAGTACACATTGAAAACCCGCCCAGACGTCCGCAAAAAGAGTACATGTCCAGGAAAAAGAGTACAGATGGTCACCCTAATATTACATATATTGAACATGGCAAATTAAAAATTATAGGATCAAGATGAATATCCCGCCGATTCAACAGCCAGGTGCTATGGGTGTGGGACAAATGGGACAGCCGGTAAACCCTCAGTTACCTCAGAATCAACAACAGGCACAACAAACGCAGCAGCAGCAAGTGCAGCAGCAACAGCAGCAGCAGCAACAACAGCAACAACAAACACAGGACAAGCTCGATAATATTTCTAAAGTAAAATCTCTGGTTGGACCTTTGAGGGAGTCATTAGCCATAGCTCTTAAAACTGCCGCGCAGACATTGCATCAAAATAGCTTGGTCGACGTAGGAACCATGAAGGGCATAGAGCAGCCAGATCACCGATTTAACAAGAATATGGAAGAATTCTATTCTATTTGCGACCAGATAGAGCTGCATCTGAAGACCTCCGTGGAATGTCTGTCCCAGCATTCCAGTTCAGTTAGATACCTACCGATGTCTGTTATCACAACTCGCACCGATACAGTGAGCACGCAGGAGGGACCAGCGTTGTCTTATCCACAGTTCCTAATGACAGTGCGCGCACAAGTGGCATACGCTCGCGAGATTCATGACACTCTTATGTCTCACGCTCGCGCGATATCATCTGGTGAACAACCTTAATTTCTGTTAATTCTAAAAAAATGTTTCAAATCCTCAGTAAAACGAGACATTATGTGAGGTGTTGCTAGAACAATCGTATTTTATGGTATAGTAATAAGTTTTTTTTAGAAGATATTGATTATGAAGATATTATTTAATAAATTATATACAAACACTGAAATATATATACATTGTTATTATGTAATTAATATTCAGAACAGCACGCAAAATCCCATCTAGTTATCCAGTTTTCAGGCTTTGATAATTAATTTTATATCAGAAAACTCCTTAATGTTTTGTACATATAAACCAAGTAATGCGATATTTTGTGTGCCTTGTGTGTAGAAAGAAAAAAATTTTAAACAAATTTTCTATGTACATAGGATATCTTAATACGTTTGAAGAATATATGTGTTTGATGACTGAAATGGTTAAAATTAATCGTGAAGACTTAAGTTTTCATTAAGGTACCTCTAGTTTAAATAGTAATATTTTATACTTTTATAGGAAGAATCATGATCTCACAATCTACATACAAGCTACAAGATATTTATTGACTAAAGAATTTCATGGATGATACAAATTGATACAGGACAATTTTTAGACCGAGGTTTAACTTATTCTTTATTTCTTTTTAATTCTAGAATTGGAAAGAAATGAAAAATAAGTTGAACTTCGGTTAACTGGGCGTTAAAGCTCAATTCAACTTTCATCTTTTTCTAATTTCTAAAACTAGAAAAGACCAAGTTAATTGAACTAATATTAAAATTAAATACACACATTAGCGATGTCCACTTCTATCAATGTAGATTAACTTCGATTTATCGTCTTTTTAGAACCAAAGAATGACGAGTTAATTAAACCGAAATTAAAATGAGACTACATTGTGGTAAGTCAATAAAATTGCGAAACGCAACGAATGTTCGATCGCAAGTTTGTATGACATCGTCAACATCTCGTTACGAGTTCCGTGAACGAGATACTGCCCGGAGGCACGCACGTCCCCCCCTCCCCCTCCCCCCCCCACGCTCCGGTAATGCCATGCCGAAAGTTCGCACGTAGCGTCGTCGGCGGTACAATAAACTCGGAAGTAAAGTTTACATTCCGTATAACAGCTATACGGTCGGCCGCCGCGATTTGCGGTCACGTATACAGCAGAAATGCAGATCGGCCAGGGGGGGCCGGAAAGGCGTGCAGGAAGCGCTACTGTCAGTTGGATTGGTGTTTCGTAGCGGCGCGCCGTACGATCATTCGAAAAGGAAGGACCACCTCTGTTCACCATATTTGGCAAACTTTCCCTAATATGGTAACGTCTACTTCTAAATATGGCAGCCGGGGACGCCCTCTCGGCGCGCGGTGTACCACTGCGCGACGACACTCGCGGCCGAATATCGTCCGAACGGAGACACGTACGGACGATCTGACGTGCGGACGGGACAGGACGGAGCCTCGGAGATTTTTCGATATCGATTTCGGCGCGGATCCCCGTCCCGTCGCGGCCACGGCGTTACGACGGACTAGTTTTTTTACGGCGTAGCCGCGCTCTGGTGGGGGAACGTCGGGCCGCGCAGCGCAGCGACACGCGGAGGCATCGCGGCTGATCGCTGCAGAGCCAAGCGGCACACGTAGGTCAAGTTACGATACTCCGCTTGGCGCATTCAGTTCGCGGGGAGCGCTCGTGCGGTGCGCGTTGTTGTCCCGTGTTCCTCTAGATGATCGATCACGTGGTGGACCCTGCGCCGAGTTCCGCACGCGATTCCGTCGCGAAGACGCGCCGCCGTCGTGGGGAAGGGATTAAATGTGCGCGCCGACGCCGCGATGGACAACCCTAGCGGCGGAAGAGACGGTCGGTACACGAGCCTCGGCTACAGCATGGGGATGATCGGGAGCGATGCTGGCACGGAAATCTACGGCCGACCGTCCACCTCCCAGCTCGCGGCGGCGGCCGCGGCGGCGGCTTCGCAGATAGGCCGCGGCGGCGCCACCATGATGTCAGCCGCGGGCGCCGCGACGCCAGGCGTCGGCCCCGTTCAACGGGGCATCAAGCGCAGCATCTCCGACGTCTGCTACGGCGACGACGGTAATAATCCACGGCAGCAATCGCTCGCCCAGGGAATGCCCGCCGGCGGCATGCCCGGCGACTGCGTGCCCGACAATCTCGACGAGTCCTTCACCAGTCTAGGCCAGCCGAAGAAGTCACCCCCCTCGAACGGCAAGAAGACTAAGGGCCGGGTGAAAATTAAGATGGAGTACATCGACAATAAACTACGGAGATACACCACGTTCTCCAAGAGGAAGACCGGCATTATGAAGAAGGTTTGTATCGTAACGATCGACACGGGGCAAACCTATAATAGCTGATGATGTACTCGATTGCACCGCGGAGTACCCGGCGCTCTCTCTCTCTCTTTCTCTCTCTGTTACGCGCGCGAAGGGCGCAGCGACTCGACACGGCGTCGTCTGTCTCTCTCTCTCTCTCTCTCTCTCTCTCTCGCGTCTTGTTCAAGTGGGCTCAGCAGGGGGAGAGAAAGAGAAAACAGAAAAAGAGAATGTGCACGTGTGTGTGTACGCGCGCGCGCGCGTCAGACTGTGAAAATAGTACCCACGTCGTCGACGAGAGCAATCGGAGTTTCACGTGCGTTTTCTCTCCGATTGTCGCGACGACAGCGACTGGATGCTGCGCGAGGGGCTCCAGCGCGTGCGCGCTCGCGCCCGCGATTTACGAGTGACAGTACTCTTCCGCGGCTATTACACGCTTTGCTAAAGGGGGCCGGTTGCTTGCACTTGAAGCTGCCAGTTAGCGTTCACTTTTTGTGCACCGCTCCCTCGGAGACTGTAATCCAAATCTCTCCCAAGAGGGGAGAGCGATCTCTCCCAATTCCTTCATCTTTTTCCTTTTTATTCGAGACACGAAGAGGACAATACGATTGAATCGAGAGACTGTATCGCTGAATCTTGTCACCGTATCTCAAGTTAGCGAAATTAATTACTGTTTTTATTAATAAATGATCGAATTAAATCTCAGATACTTTATACATGAATTAGATAAAAAACCAGTAAAGTTAATTTAGCACGAATTTCTATAGTCAAAAGTAAATACAAAAATTTTTACATATTTTTATAATATATTTATACCTGGACGCGCGTTTCGTTTAATTAAAATTTTTTTAATATTTATGACGACAAAGATTTCACGATTTTTCATAAAAAAAATGTTTTCATCGGCGTTCTTACATAAATTTTGTGAGTGGAAATTAAAGTTGATTGGTCCCAAAATTGTTGCAATTGTACAAATTTTTAAATAATTATTGGAGCAATTTCTTATTTTTGTCACAATCTCGATAAAGTATGTGTGTCCTTTTCCTTTCTATTACACTATCCTGATAATTTTTTAATAATTTTTTTATCTTTGTCAAATAACACTATTGTCTCACACATTTTTCTACAATTTAATACAATTAAGATACACTTTTTTCTACGCTTTAATAATATAATTTTCCTTCACTAATATATTTTGTTATTTAAAATCAAACATTAATTCAGCTCGAATTGTTCAGATAATGAAAATTGCTTCTATTTTTTTGTATGCAAATAAAAAGTATATAAATATGTTTTATAAACGCATGAAACATAAAGAAATGTCAGAAAATCACCGTGTTAAAAAATTAAAAAATTTTTTCTTTAAAAATTGAAATAATAATTTGAATACATTGTTATTAAATCTCTCGATCTCATTAAACATTTTAGATAGTAATATCGCTTGAAGATATTTGAATGATCTGGAAAGTTATAAACCTTAAAGGTTGAGATCGCGGAATATTGTTCCTTAAAAAAGAAAAGAATATTTTTTACTAACTTCTCTTCTCTCTCTCTCTCTCTCTCTCTTTAGTAATACATGTATTTTTCGAGTGAATAAATTATAATAAAATTGGGTGTTTCTACAGAAAGGCGACTATTGATTCTGAACTACGTTCTCTCTTCTTCCCTCGCCTTCCAATTTGTTACTTTATCCTTGAAATTTTTCTTTTTACTGTTTTAAACAAATATCTCTGTTTTTAAATGGAAAGAAACTTGTCATAAGCGTAATATAATAAATTGCGAAACTATAATATTTGTATATTCATAATCTAGAAATATAATTTTAATGACATCGTTTATAAATAATTAGGATGCGTTGAAACGGCATATGTTAATTTCGATTTATTAATGATATAATTTGCATTATAAAATGTTTGAAGAAATAATTTTGCAACTTTTATTTTAATTATTTTTTATAAGATTTTAAATTTCCAATTAAAAAAATTAATTACTTTATGAAAAATATATGTTTAATATAAATAAAACGGAGTAATATCAACAAAAACGGTAAAATATGTAAAATTATATTATTTGGGCAAGAATTTTGAATTAAATCGTTTCGGAAATGATTAAATTCATGATCTCATGTTTAATTAAAGACACGCGATTGAAATTGCACAAAGAACGTGCATAATTAACGAGGTGCACATATAAAAAACGATGACTAACCATCTAAAATTGATTAAATATTACTTTTTCTGTAACTCTTAGATTTTAACTAGATATCCATCTCAAAACTTGTGTATACATTTTTAATTGTTTTAGAAATGATCTGAATTGTGTTTTAATAGAAAATGTTATAAACGATTCATCTCCTTGATAAAAAAATTTGAATTTCAGTTTTTACATATTTCGCAAAACATTTCGAAAATAAAGAAAATAATACTCACATGGTTGCATACATACATATAGATATAAATATTACACCATATACTTGAGACAAGACATGTTAGTGATAATATATAATATGTTCATCATATTCTTAAAATTGAATTACGATACTCTGATTTTATAATCTCATAATATTACAAATTTTTACAAATTTTAATTTCGTCATTTATTAACTTATAAACTGATAATCCCATGCTTTATGGTGAGAATTGTCGGTATAAAGATGTCAGAATTTTGGCGAAAATTTAAACAACTGTTTGGGAAAGACATGTATACAAAAATTAACAATGTTCTCTTCCTGTTCTTCATGGTATATCAAGAAAATGTATTTTAAAACTATTAATTTATTCTTTTTTACAACATTTATAGATGCTAGACGTCAGTATTGCAAAATCACGTATGTAGAAGTTTTTATAGAA